GGTAATGATAATGATAACAAAAAAATGAAGATAATGATAACGGCAATAAGAATGATAATAGTAATAATAACAATGAAAATAATAATAAAGATAATGACAATATTAATAATGATACCAGAAGTAATGACAACAATAATGATAATGATAGGAAAGATAATAATGATAATAATAATAATAGTACTACTACTAGTACTACTACTACTACTAATAATAATAATGATAATAATGATTATAATAATAATAATAAATATGATAAAAATAACAATAAAAATAATGATAATGATAATGATGATAATAATAACAAAAATTAAGAGAAGATAATGGAATGAATAACAGAGATAACAGTAATAATAGCAACAAAATGAAATGATAATAATAATGGTAATAGCAATAATGATAATAATAATAATAACAATATTACTATACTACTATTACTGTTATTATCATTATAAATATCATCATTATTAATATCGTTATTATTATCACCATTATTATTATCACTTTCGTCATTACTGTTATCATGTTAAAAATAATAAGGAATATTTTTATTCTAGTTTATAGTAATGATAGTAATAGTATCAATGGTGATAATAAATGATAATGATACTGACAATGATAAATAACAATAATAATGAGATAATAATAATAAAAAGTAATGAAAAGGATAATAATAATGATAATAATGACAATAATATTAACACTAATAATAACATTAATAATCAAAATAATAATTATTATTATCATTATTAAAATAATAATGATAGTTATTACAATGATTATAATGACAGATAAAAATGCTGCTGTTGATGATGATATTAATAATGATAATAACAATAATAATAATAATAATGATAATGATAATAATATTAACAATAATAATAATAACAGTAATAATAACAGTACGATAGTAACAATAATAATGATACTAATGATAATAATGATAAAAAAACAGTGATAATGATGATAATAATAATAATAACAGTAATGACAGTAATAATGATAATAGAATAATAATAACAACAATAAGGATGATAATAATAGTAATAATAATAATAATGATAATAATAATAATAATAATAATAATAATAATAATAATAATGATAATAATAATAATAATAATAACAATAATAACAATAGTAATAATAATGATAATAATAATGATAATAATGATAATAATAATGCTGATAATGATAAAATCATCATCATCATCATCGTTATTATCATTATCATTATTATTATTATTATTATTATTATTATTATTATTATTATTATTATCATTATTATTATTATTATTATTATTATTATTATTATTATTATTATCATTATCATTATTATCATTATTATCATTATTATTATCGTCATTATTAGTATCATAATCATGATGATGATAATGGTAATGATGGTAAATAAATATGATAATGATGATGAAGAATAATAACAATAAAATAATAGCAACAGTAACAATGATAATGATAATGATTGTGATAACAATAATTATGATAACAGTAATAATAATAATAATAATAATAATAATAATAATAATAATAATAATAATAATAATAATAATAATAATAATAACAATAATAATGATAATGATAATAATAGTAATGATAATAATAATAATACTAATAATATTAATTATGATAATAATAATGATAATAATAATAATAATAATAATAATGATAATAATGATAGTAATAATGATAGTAGTAGTAGTAATAGTAGTAGTAACAGAATAATTATATTAACAATAATAATAGTAATGATAATAATAATAATGATAATTTTTATAATTGTCATTATAATTATTATTAATATTGTTGTTATTTTTTATTATCATTATCATTATTAATATTATTATTATTATTATTATCATTATTGTCATCATTATTATTATTATTGTTAATATAATTATTCTGTTATTATTATTATTATCATTATTATTGTTATTATTATTAATATTATCATCATCATCATCATTATCATTATCACTGTACTATTGCTATCATTTTATTGTTATTTTTTTGTATTTATTATCATCAATATTATATCTATTTATCATCATGATTATTATCATCATCATCATCATCATAATGATTATAACGATAATAATAATTATAACGATAATAAAAAAATCAATGAGAAATGATGATAATGATAATAATAAAAATAATGATTATAATATTAACATGAAAAAATAAAAACAACAACGATAATAACAATATTAAGAACAACAATAATGATAATAATGAAAATAATGATCATTATCATTATTAATATTATCATTATTACCATCCTTGTTATTATTATCTTCGTTACTATCATAATTGATATTACTATCATTATTATCTTTATCATTATTATTATTGTTGTAATTAATACTATCAATATCTATATTTCATCATTGTTATTGTTATTATCATTATCACTATTACTATCATCATTATTATTATCATCGTCATAATCATCATCACCACTATAAATATCCCCGTCATTACCGTTAATAAGTGACAGCACAGATAAAGACAGCGTGACAGTTCACCACGTGACCGTAAATAAAGAGTGACCTTAGCGTCTGCATTGTTGATGTGATGACGCAACATCACCACGATAGCATCTACGATAACATCTCCTATTGTCTGACGTTCTTGTTATTTTGTCTAGTTCTTTCCCCGTCTCTTGTTCGTGGGAAATGAAAGTAAAAAAATTAAATTAGATTTGAAAAAAAAAAGAAATAAAAAATAAAATTGTTTTGATGAGCAGGTTGGGATTTTTAGATGTGGTTTCTTTGTTTTTTTTTGTGTTTCTTGTTTCGTTATTTTTAATTTATTTGGAAATATAGATGGATTGATGTAGATTTAGATGGACAAATAGATGAAAGATATAGATAAAAAGTGACACATAGATATAATCATGTAAACAGAGGCAGGTATGAATATAGACTGACATATATTCCAAAAGACAGATGAAGATATAGACATAGATAGATATATTCATCCACATAGATACGAATACACGCAATTATTTCTCAACTAAAACATTCATTAACGTACACCACACCGTTTTTCTCATTCATCCATCCACTTCTTCCTTAATTTCCTTCGTATTCCTCTGCACTCACGTCTGTTCACGAACGCCCTAGATTACTCAGACCTCAGTATTTCCCACACCCATTCTCTTATGCGGTTCCTGTATGCATAAACACGCCTCATTGTTATTCATTGTATAACCTACCGCTTTGTTATTCACAGGTTGGATTGCGTGTTTTCTATCGGTGGATATTGTGGAGTTTTCGTTTTTCTTTCTGTTGGTATTATTATGATTATCCTTATTATTATTATCCTCGTCATTATCATTGTCATAGCCATTATCAACTTTATCATCATCATTATTTATTACCATTATCCTTATCATCATCATTATTATTATTTTCATTGTTGTTGTCATTATTATCATAAGGTGTAGTAATTAGTGGTAATATGCTAATTTTCGTAATCACCATTATTATTATTGGAGCAGTACTAGTAAATTTGATTCTGTCATGATTGAGAAGCTTCTCGATTACCTTTTATTGCGTGTCTTTTCTGAATAATGTAAAGTCAAGTAAATGGAAACTATTGCATGTCTAATTGAAAGACAGATGATGTTGAATTCATTTATTCCACACGTTTACATAAAACATAATACGAAAAGAACGGCAAATTTGGGAAGGAACAGTTTCATAACATATATAGTCTGAATCATCATTATCTTTCTCATCAGTCACTCGTCATCACTATCATCATTGTCATCGCCATGTGTTCTTAAACAAGTGGCGGCGAAGGAGTGAAAGGGAATGCAAGTTGCCTCCTTTCACCGACATTCTTCCACAGGTGCTGCCATCTATCGTTTGATTCCGTGACCAGAGGGTAGTGGTGCCATCTAGGTTTCGTTCTCGTAAGTAGAATCGGTGCTGACATCTATGGGTCACACTCGTATCGAAAGTTAGAATGTATTCTCTTTATATATTAACTTGATATATATTGATATGTATATTTCCCTAGACGTATTTCTAATTATATTCTTAATAAAGTGATATCTAATCGGGACCGAGAAGATGGCAATTCATTTGGTAATCAGGTTTCAGTCTGAGAAATGTGTGAAAGCAATAGTGTTTAAGCAACAGACGGAAGAGAAAGAAAAGAAACTGATGAAAACCGTGGTCAAGGAAGTGAAAGAGTTTGGAGAAAAATAAGGGAGAGAGAAAGAGAGAGAGAGAGAGAGAGAGAGAGAGAGAGAGAGAGAGAGAGAGAGAGAGAGAGAGAGAGAGAGAGAGAGAGAGAGAGAGAGAGAGAGAGAGAGAGAGAGAGAGAGAGAGAGAGAGAGAGAGGGGGGGGGGGGGGATACCAATCAAGCACACTTCCTCGAGTACAGTAAGCGAACACGTCACTCATTACGAACATAAGTATAAGCATGTAGAAGAGGCGAGAATGAAAGAAAACTCAACGACGTGTGTATTTTTACTAACAAGATAATGCATCTTTGTACAGACTATCCTCGGCTCCTGAGACCCGCGCTGGATCCTAGAAGATACAGTTTCTCCTGGAATGGAAGGAAAATCTTCAACAACGACCTACGCTACATGAAATACCTACACATACATTGCTACCATTACTATATTTGTTTGTTTGTTTTTTAATTAATAACTATGTCTTTGGTTGGCTCTCCGGTCACCAGCATTCTCGACCCGCGAGGCACGTCCTCAGGAAGATCGCGGTCCACGAGGCGCGCTTCCTGCCCTTGCTCTTCTCTGCCTCGCCGGCGTCTCTCCTCCTCTCTCCCGTCGCCTTTTCCTCCTCCTTCGCCTTCGTGTCCTTCCTCTTTCTTGAGGCCACGACTATCCACTCCCGTGCCTGCTTCCCCCCGATGGCCCCGTCGTCGGCTCCCCCTCCTCCTCCTCCCGCCGGCAGCGTAGGCCCCGAGGGCGAGGGCGCAGTGATCCCTTCCTCCTGCCGAAGGAGTCACCAGCCCGAAGTCGCCTTGGAGTCCCCGAGGTTGTAGGAGGAGGACCTCGCGATGGGACTGATGCCGTAGGGCGTGGCGGCCCCGTAGAGCGAGCTGTACCCGAGGCCGCCGAGGCCGACCCCGAGGGCATGCAGCTTGGCGAGGTGGGCGAGGCCGGTGAGTCCCAGGCCGAGTCCTCCGAGGCCTCCGAGGCCGAGCCCCAAGCCCAGGCCGCCCAGTCCGCCCAGGCCGCCCAGGCCGCCCAGTCCGAGCAGCGGGAGGCCGCCGGCGCCCGAGACTCCGGTGAGCCCGAGGCCCTTCAGTCCGAGGCCGAGTCCCCCGAGGCCGCCGAGGCCGCCGGCGCCCGAGACTCCGGTGAGCCCGAGGCCCTTCAGTCCGAGGCCGAGTCCCCCGAGGCCGCCGAGGCCCGCGAGTCCCCCGAGCCCCGCGAGGCCCGGGAGGAGGCCGGCGTCGAGGCCGAGGGGCTTTCTAACGACCTCGTAGACGTGGTGGTGGTAGTGGTCCTGGTGCGGGCTGTCGAAGAGGCTGTCGCCGTCGTAACCGCCGCGAATCCTGTCGGAGGTGCGCTGGTCGTAGGAGGCCAGCGCCGCCGCCCGCACCTCGGCCACGGCCACCATGAGCACCAGGGCCAGCGCCGTGCCCGCTCGGCCGCCGCGGCCGCGAGACTCTCCCGAAGGCGCCAT